TTGTCATTTTGTTCTTGTATTTTCTTCTGAAATTGTTCTAGGGTTTTGTCTGTGTTTTCCTTAATTTCGTCAGTGTTTCCCTTGATCTGTCTCTCAAGCCATTGAAGGTTCCTAAATATAATTCTTTTGAATCCCTTCTCAGGGCGTTCTAGTGCTGCTTCTTTCTCAGGGATTTGTTCTGGATCTATATCCTGCTCCCCTGTTTCTCCTGCTTTATGTTGCTTCTTTGTGTGGACTGTGATGGTCTGCTGTCTCCAAGACATTGTGACTTTATTGTATTTATATTTAATTGGTGAGTGTATGTTGAAGTGATTTGCCCAAGATTTTTGTTTTCTTTGGATGTATCTGAGTAAGCAGGGTACTCTGCTCCTCTGTTTCCTAGTTGGCAGCACTTACACACTCACTACCTGTCTCTTGGTGGTTGTGATAGAGAATGAGAGTGGCTGCACAGATCTCTGCTAACTGTTTGTGAAGAGTAGTTAAGGGTGAGTCAGACTCTTGGTGGTTGTGTATCAGTGGCCTGTTGGTGCAGAAGGAAGTGATGGCTCTTACTCAGTAAGTGGAGCTGCAGGAAGTCCGGGTGTGGTTGGGTTGTTTGGGCACAGTTGCTGTCTCCCACTCAGTTAGACAAAAAACAACAAACAAAAAAGTGAAAGAAAGATGACAAAAATACGCACCACATAAATACACAGGAACAATGACTAAAAAGAGAAAAGAGGAACAGCAATAAATGAGAGAAAATAATTAAAGAAATAATTTTTAAAAGGCAAAAGAAATATGAATTAAAAAAGGGGATGACCCACAATATCTGGGGAGGAGGGAATAAGAGAAAAGATGTAGATTAGGAGAATAATGAAGAAAAAATGGGAAAAACGCAAAAAGATAAACAAGAAATGGAGAGAACCACAAGAAAGAAAAAAATGGGAACCAGGAAAAGGAAAGAGATAAAAAGCTGAAAAGTAGGACCTGGGGTGGGAAGAAGAAAGAATAATAATAAAAAGGATGAAAATAATAATAATAATTTTAAAACAGACAAAAATAAATTTTAAAAAAATC